GCAAGCCGAGAGTTGTTGGGGTCTCCCCAGCGCATCGAGTACGCTGGATCCGACTCCGTCGTATCCAAATTCCGCCGTCGTGTATCGAGGTGTCCTCCGATACAACCGCACTCCCGTTCGACCGATTCCGAGCACAGAAGTATATCCCGGTCACCCGAGCACACTCAGCAGAACCACCGAAGTCATCCACAGCCAGGGCTCTCCCCAGCTGGGGAGTTCACTCGACACTCCGTATCCATTATCAAAGGCAGGAGCACATCTCCGCCCGCCGAGCACTCTCGGCAGGGAACGAGTACACCCGTTCTCCGACCCGGGGTCAGAAAACCTATCTGCGGAAATTTCACTCTCGCGAATGACACCGCCCGCAATCCAAACCACGCGTACATAAATTTAAATCGCCGAAATTAAAGGTCCGCGACAACATGTGCGATACCGCCGCACACTCCACGCGCCCCGCGTCACCGAGTTACGCATCGCGAGATTAGTATCGCGCCAAAGCGATACCTCATCTGTATAAAAACTTATAAACACGCGCTGATCGCCGTCTCGCCCGTTCACGGCCAATTCTATTCACGTTCTTTCGGCTATTTGTGCATTTCCATCTGGCATTACTTATTGTTATTTCTTTCATATTTTAATAAATTATTATTCTAATAATTATTCTATAAATTATTCTAATAATTTCACCTACGATTTAACTATAATTTTAATTCCACAATTCTATCTCCAACGTCTTCGCTTCTCTACTTGATAACCTGAACTGACCGCTATCCGCGCGGGAAAGCGAGACCGTTTTAATTTTATGTACTATTATTCGTCAAATTATGCGGAATAAATTTTCTGTTTTGAAAAATTCTAAGATAAAGAAGAGCAATAATATCGATATTAAATTGGCCAATTTAATAATATAATAATGTTAATAAGCATCTAACGTAAAATGATGTCAATAACAAAACTTTTCCTCTTGAAAAACTGTTAAAAGTGTTTATTTGGCGCACAGTTCGATATACTAGATAAAAATGATATTTAAAATCACACAAGACATATTAGTATGAATATCCAGCTTTAATCGAATAAAGTTTGTTTTTAATTGATTACGTTTCCACATGTCGATTAATATTTTCTTATATGTAATCCTTACAATCATCAACATTTAAAAATTATATAAAATATATTGATGATTTAATATTTTCAATAAAAAAGTCGTATATAAAAACAATCCTTATTCGGTTAACTGAATACTTGTGTTAATATTTTTTTAGTGATTTTATATACTATTTTTATATATTATTCTACTATTATATTTTATATACTATTTTATATACTATTATTTTAATTTGTTAAATTGCATGCAGAATAAATCTTCAGTTTTGAAAAATTCTAAGATAAAGAAAGAAAAGCAGTAATATCAATATTAAATTGATCATTTTAATAATAATGTTAATAAACATCTAATATAATAAGATATTTACCAAATTCGCTTTCTCTCTTTTTCTCTCTCTCTCTTCTCTGTTTTTTTTTTAATATCTCCCTCTCTCCTTTTCTTTCTCTGTAAAAATAACAACTTTTATAAAAATATTTATTATAATACAAATGTGTTATGTTTGAATATGAAGGTTTTTTTTTACTTCTTCTATTACGACAGTTTAAATTAAAAATTTGAATATAAATACCTGTTTTTCTTAAGCAGCGTCTACAATGAAACTTTAAGACATAAGAAATTGACCAACCACAATCGATTATTCTTCTATAATTCTTCGATTATGATTGGTCAATTTCTTAAATCTTACGCCTTAAAATATCATTGTAGATGCCGCTTTAAGAGTAGATTTTAAACACGTTGCACTGACACTTAGCACTTTACTTATTTATATACTAATTGAGTTCTTGATGCATTCAATCGATAATATTAAATATATCAGTGATTCCCCCTGCGACGTAAAATAATATTTCAATTAACTAATCGACTAATTTTTCTATTGGAATTGTCTAATCGCTTTTGTCATTAAATTTGTCGAACGCGATTGATTAAATCCAATAAGTCATAAAATTACTAAGTTAATCGATGAAAATAAACTAAATTTAAATAAACAATACATAGGTATAAGCCAAGTACATGTTAACAAACTACAACGCGAGACATGACATTTACTCGGCAAGCAGGATCTTGGTTACTAAAGTCTTTATAATATGAAAATAAATTCAATTATTTTTTATATTACTAACTACGTGCCGCTTTTTTAACAGACTTTCAACGTAGTGGTTTTAATAAATCGATGATCAATATTATTGATATCGATTAAAATCCCTTTTATTATTCCCCCCATCAGAAATATATATTGCGAAAAATATCACCTCAGCCAGGGAACCTGGATCGCCCGCTTTCCGGGCAGGCATCTTATCCACTAGAGAACCACTGAGGCTATGGTAATATTTATCGCAATATTCAGATAAATAATGTGTAACGTTTTATAATGATAAGTTCGTCTTACGACGATCTTTTAATCGATATCAATAATATTGATCATCGATTTATTATAGAACTACTACGTTGAAAGTCTGCTAAAAAAGCGGCACGTAGTTGGTAATATAAAAACTAATTGAATTTATTTTCATATTATAAAGACTTTAGCAACCAAGATCCTGTTTGCCGAGTAAATACCATGTCTCGCGTTGTAGTTTGTTAAATTTAAATACTTTAGTAAAAATTAATTTGTTATTTATAATTTTAAGTTGATTCTTATTATATTAAAATATGTTTTTATAATATGTTCTTATTATATTAAGCTATATATTTTAATATTAATATTAATAATTAATGATCTTATTTTAAATTTCGAATAGTCTTATTAAATTTTCATTATTTATTAGATAAAATATATTGTAAATAAGAAACATGTAATAACTATTTTTTGCTCATTCCGGTTTCGCGTGAATTTCTTTGTGATTTATATAAATTCTAAATTATAATATCTCTTACTATTTTAAATTCTTCTCAATTAGTCAACCGACCAATCATTCCATTGGAATTCACCAATCGTCTTTGTTGTTAAATTTGTCATGCGATTGATAAATTCTAATGGAATAATCAGCTAATTAAATTAAACAAACATAATAAAGAAATTAAATAATAAATTCTATTTCATTGTCCTTTTATTTATGTACTCTTTCATTGTTCATTTGATAGAAAAGCACTATTTTGTTTATGATTATCCGCCACGCGTCACGTATCGCAACATAGTCCTAATCCGGACTGGCAAAAATGTTATAATTTGATGTTGCAAGCTAGATTTAAATTATCTTTGGATCCTGTTAACCAGTCTCCAGGTAATTGTTATATGTTGTTATAATGGTAATTGTTAATTATAAGTTAAATAATTCCGTAGAATTTTTATATATTTCTAATTATCATATTTACTGTTTAAACAAAAATATTTATAATCTATAAACGCCAAGTTCACGCGCCCTTTTTCTTATTTATGTAAAAGGAAGACTTTTATACAAACATTTCCATCTACAAAAGTCTTTTTAATAATAAATTTCATATTGGTACAAAAGATGTGATATGAAGAACTGGCGCCAACTTCTAATTTAATAAAATAAAAAGAACTTTACATTGAAATACATTTTTTTTGTAGTTCATTTTTATTTTAAAAGTCGTTTCATTATTTCTATAAAAAACATGATATCAAAAATTGACACAAACTTTTAATTATATAAATAAAACTTTAACTATAAATATAACTAAACTATAAATAAAACTTTGCAAAGGTGAAAAAAGATGTTATCAATCCAAAATTAATGTCAATTTGTAGTTGCCAAAAAAATTTTATTGAATTATTGTACTTGTGGTTTACATAAAAAATAAAATATAAAAAGAAAAATCTGATGCGTAAGAAAAAAAAAAACGACGTACAAAAAATTTGGGCGCGCCCCGGGGTCGGCATTAAAACTACTTTTAATAATAATGAATTATGTGACAGATAAATAGAAAACAGTTTGAATTAAAATTTAATATATTTTAATATATTTTAAGATTTTTTATTTTTAAACTTATTTCTTTTTTAATATTAACTAAATAAAAATTAATGAAATATATAATTAATTATTAATTAATAAAACATTTTTTTACATAAATAATGCAAAAAAAACTTAAGAGTTTATTTTATTAGAATGTTATCCATTATAAACGCAAATGTTTTAATATTTATTAATAAATTTTTTAATATTATATATTTACATATAATGTTAAAAAAATTATATAAAA